TCGGCCACGATCCAACACGACTGCTCATGGCCCTAGGCCTGAGCCCTTGACAGAACTTTCTATTATATATCCTAGGTATGTGCTTAACATATGTAAAATATTCTATACTTTTTATGTATAAAAATCCACCCCTCCTGAGCATATGCCTAGCATATATACTCTGTTACCCGTTTTTTCACAACCCACTTATCCCTATAAAACTGGTCAGGGTATCAAACTCTTATCAGTCTCCACTTTTGATAAGTGTTTGACCCCCCGACCAAAAATGCCGGCTTAAACGGAATAGCAATAAAAATCTTGGACCTAGTCCTTACCTAAGCAACCAAATACCGAGGACTGTCTTCCAATCAATTTCTCCAAACTCTATCAATCTAACCCAGCCGCTCCTGCGTTCTAAGCTGCATTCTAAAAGCAACTCAATCGTCGTTGCTTGATAATTTGCGATGATCGCCACAGAATTGCGACCGAAAGAACAACCCCGAGTGTTTTCGTCCATGCTGGTACTGTGTGTTGCTGGTGAGCTTTGGGGGTATGAAAGCTTGGTACGCATATTGCAACGGTGCCACGCGAGCTCAGCCCTACGCCCGTGGAGTGGGGCGGAACGGAGGTGGTGTGGTGAACTTATCACAGGGCAAGACAAAAACAAGAAAGGGAAGAAACAATGGAAAGAAAAGGGAAAGGGGATTGGCAGAAGATTATGGGAAGTAATAACTTAGAATTAGATTGGCGGTCTTTTAATTGTCAAGCCCTGGTGACCGGTTCCTGAATTGATCTTACAAGCAAGCGCGATCGATAACAACTCGGCAGGTGTTCAAGTCGCCATTTCCCCACCAACTTCACTTGTTCGGGTCCTGCCTTCCCATACATGTACCTAACGTAGAGGTAGACTTCCAACCAATTTGGCAAATCTCAATTCCTACAAGTTAGGATTTTTACCACCTTGATTTAATACCTCCAATTACCCGTTCCTTGCTGCGTCACTTTCAGCGGCGACCGTCCTGTAGGATACAAGGGTCGCTTACCTCCCCATTCGTCTTCCCCCCCCCCCCCCCCCCCCACCACCTACTTCAATTCAGCTTCCTACCTCAACCGACCCTTCTTGATACTTTTGCGCAACGCCTAAAATCCTGCAGATACGCGTGGATTAGATGAAAACAACGGCCGGAGGCCAGCTTTGTGCGCCTTTGTTGCTCCGTGGCCGTCAGGGGTGGACGCATGGGCTCGGCGGATCTGCATAAAACAGAGGCCCTCTCGCCAATTATTTCAGATCTTATTGGGTCTTCGCCAGGAGCACAACAGCACATCAGCTTTGGTCTCCGGAAACTTGGCCAAACAGATGCAGGAGAACGATTTCAGGCACCGAAACGCCGCATTACCGCATTCGCGCAACAGCGAGCGACTAGACACTCCTCCCACTCTGCGCAAGGTCGTTAGCCGCCTTTGTGCCCTTTTGATTGAGGAAAATGAGACTATTCCGATTTCGAGCAGACTCGGTAGTTGCTGGGTCTCCGACACTTTGGAAAGGATCCAGCTCACCGCCCTCAGACGCGTCCACGGCCGAGAAGAGCTAGTGAAATACGGGGCGAGAGGGTGATCGGCAGCCGCAGAGAAACTGAGCCACTCGCCTTCGCAATCGAGGCTGAGAGATGATGCACGGAGCCGGAGACACTCGTGTGAATTTGAGACGGTGTGTAACGTGGTTGATAGGTTCCCCAAAGCCCAGTCTCAGGCGCCGACCGGTGGTAAGACGCACTCGCGATCGTCTTTTGTCGCCCACGTCACGCCTCTCACCAACTCTTCTCTTCTCTCCATTGTGGCCGTTTCAACCATGCTACTATTGCCCTTGAGGCCTTCTGCCCTGTTCAATCGCCAGCCCTACTAGCAAAGCATGGCGTTCACCGCCAAACGTCCGACATGACGCTCCTTACCGCGGGCATCATGCCTCCTTGGGCAAAACGGGTGTGCCGTGTCCCACAATTGCACCGTCACTCGCGTCTACAAACATCGTTGTTAATTATCTTCCTCTGCCTTTGCCATGGGACCTCGGCTCAGCTCGATCCAGTGAGAAACTTTTGCCGGCGGTTCGGCCACCAAACGGCTGTTATTGATAGGAAGCTTTACATCGACGGGGGGTTCATCAACTACAACCCCATCTCCCAGTACCCCACGAATTATTCCAGTACGTGCTGTTCTAGGCTAGTTCTGGGCGCGTTGCTAGGGATTAACCGAGGTTTCTAGACACCGGTCTTCTGTACCATGACCTTGATACCCCTGGCGCAGGGCGAATGCCTCAACTCTACGCCAACTTAACCAAGAACTCCACCATCCCGACCGTTCACGGTGGCACACTATGGGCGGACGATATCAATAAGCGCTTTTACCTGTTTGCTGGGGAATACTACCAACAGCCCCCCACGCCGCAATTTACTCTGTGGTCGTTTGACACCATCTACAATACTTGGGAATCTTTCGGCTCTCCGGCCGAAGATGGCGTTGCTGCCGTGTCTTACGGTGCCGGGGTTTCGGTCCCTGAAATTGGCGAAGGGTTTTATTATGGAGGATGGAAATCGAACAACACCGTCCCAGGGTGGTCCGGTCCGCCAAAAGCTGTGTCAGCCCTGGTGAGATACAACATGGACTCAAATACCTGGTCCACCGACAACGGTCCGGATTCCGTTGGAAGAGCAGAGGGTTCAATGGTGTTCATCTCCATTGGAGATGGGGGTATGCTAGTGTACTTTGGTGGTATTCAAGACCCTCACGGCAACGGGACCTGGATTGGACAGCCGATGACGACAATTCTTCTCTACGACGTGCTTAGCTCAAAGTGGTATACCCAGAACGCGACGGGAGACGTTCCCCAAATGCGAAGACGTTTCTGCGCTGGGTCAACGTGGGCCTCGGACCAGTCAAGTTACAACATGTAAGTGAACGGGAAATATTCCGGCATTAAAAGGGACGTGTCTTGTTGACAAGATTGACAGTTACTTGTACGGCGGTGAAGGTGTAACCCCTGATACGCCGGGCTTCGATGACGTTTACGTGCTTTCCATCCCCTCGTTCCAATGGATCAAGATATATCCTCCCGACGGCAATGCAACAGGACCTTATCTTCACCACTCACTCACCTGTAACGTAGTCGGTAAGGCGCAGATGGTCGTCATCGGTGGTACATTCCCAACAACCAACGACTGTGATGCTCCTTCTCAGTACGGCTTCCACAATCTTGATTTGGGCGAGCAGAACCGGGAAAAGGCATTATGGCAGATATTTGCCCCCAACCTCACCGATTACACTGTCCCAGCGCCCATCATTGCCGCCATCGGGGGTTCGAACAGCGGAGGTGCCACCAAGACAGCTCCCGTAGGGGGATTCAGTAACTCCGACTTGCGCGTACTCATGACTCGCCAGGCCAACGTCCCAACCCGAACCCCAACACGTTCGATACCCAACGCCACTGGCAGCCCGGGTCGAGGCCAGCCCCTTCCTACAGGCGCGATCGCCGGCCTCGCCGTGGGGTGTGTCGTGGCGCTGATACTCTTCGTCATTGCCATCATCCTGATCCGCCGTTGCCGTTATCGTCGCCGCCATGATCTCCCGCAAACTTATGCCGCAAACTCCCAATCACAGGCGAAACGAACCCTCCACGCCAGCACTCACGAATGGGGCAGCAGCCGCAACACTCAGAGCCTGTTAACCACGCAAACACCCAGCAGCCCCAATTTCCAAAGCCCGTTTTTGGTTCAGCACCCCGAGGTCGACGGGAATAGTCACTCCTCCCGACCCGCGGAGCTTCCCGTAAGAAACGACACAATGGCGCCTCCAGATCCAGGGACGACATCGTGGCTATCCCCAGATGACAATCCCTACACGCCCGGCCCAGCAGCGGCAGCGGCCGCGGTAAGCAGCGAAAGTGTTGGGCCTGAGACTAGGATCGATGCCGAAGGCAGATTATGGGTCCAAGTACCGCGGCACTCAGGGGCTGGCGGCATTTTACTGTCCCCATCTTCACATGGTCACGGTAGCCCTGGTGGGAATGTCAGTCCTGCAGGTGAAAGGTCCGGGAGTAGGAACGAGGAAAGAAATACGGGGTGGTGGGGCCGATATTTCCGGGTCGGGGGACAACAACACAAAGGGAGCTCGAACCTGAACTCGAATGCAAACTCCCCTGTGGTCGGTGTAACGGAGACAGATGGTCCGCCGTCGCATGGGCGACAAGAACGAGAAGTCGAGCTTGAGCAGCCTGCGGCGCCACAGGAACTGAGCGGCGAACCGAGACTGGAAGGGGACGGGCCTTGGGAGGAGAGAGAGGAGGAACATGGCCGGCCAAAGCACCTTACCTTTTACCATCCATGAAGCCCGTCTACAGCCGTGGCTCGGTGCGTTTAAAGCGATTTGGTGTTAACTCAACTTGGGAGGAGTTATAGAGGTGTATGGAACAGGAGGAGTTTATATTTGACGTTGTGCTCAACGAGTGTTAACATAATTCCTTACGTACTCCCGAGATAACGGTTTTTTTAGGATGCAATGTACTAGAATTTTGTTCCATAATTAAGAGTAGAAACAGGGCATAAAGAGACAATGATAGGGGACGGAGCACCTCTACCAAGAACAAGAACAAGCCGAATAATTGAACATCCGCTTGCACCAGTTATAGCTCTGTCATGTTATTACATTGAGGTTTGATCCTTCTATGGCATTCAACAAGGTGACAGTATATCTTACTGTATGGCCACTGGGTATAGAACAGACATCGTTCCTTCCTTCCTTCCTCTCCCCAGCCCCGGCCCTCTATAACCCACTTCTCCGTTGCTCCTCCCAACCGCCCCCCCAATATACCGGCTACGGTCGCATGGCGTATTTGGGGGAGCCATGGGCGTCCAAATGGTACATCACGAAAGCAAAGCCTTCAGGTTCAAATCCTGCGTGCTGCGCCAGCCGAAGAAAAAACCACCCGGTTTTTCGTAACCGTCCCCCATTCCTTGACCCCTACGGGGGATTGAGATGATGGGGCGGTGAGCTTTTTGACTTTTTTTCTCTCTCAATACTTAAATTACTAGTATCATTTTGCTTCAGCCATACACCTACTATAAATCTCAGTCCATTTTTTTTTCCCACTTTCGGTCAAGAAGTGAGATATTTCAAAGTTAAATACTTCTTAACTTTCAAAATCTCAAAAATGACCATACCGCCGACTAGGACGTCAGCGAGCACTGCACGGCCAGCTGGAAGCCCTTGTTCGACCTCGAAATCATAACGAAGGTTTCGAGCAAAGCTGCTAGGAATGTTATTTAAGGACAGTGCCACTGAGCAAAAGACTTTTAACACTGGGCTGGTAGTTTGGGTTGGTGTGCTATGGCAGGACCTCGAGAACAACGACCCATTTCACACGACACTTATGATCCTTATGCAAGATTAACCAAACCAACCTTCAGCGTCCCAACTGTGGCACACCGGCCATAGATAAAGCCCCGCGAGACAGCGAGTGTCAGTCCTCCACGCATCTCAGTTCCACAGTCGGCTCATTTTTCTTCGCCCCGAGTACCCTCATGGCAGCCGTCGACCCGTGACAAGACCGCTTACGGCACGTCGCGCCCCGAATCAGTTCGGACATATCTCGCAGGAACATGCCCTTGCTTTTGGGTATCACATGCGACTCCTTTGCTGAGGAAACGTTTATTCCCGTCTCCTGATCGGATGGAAAGGTCCGACTACGGTTGTGAAAGAGCATGGAGTGTCTTTGTTAGGCCCCTGACGAGACAGATGATGAGCATTACACCATACAACCAAGACATCATCACATCGCGGGGAGCGAGACACAAGATCGAAATATTGATTGGGAATCATAAAACAAAAACACAACGCGGCACACACCCGCGTGGGGTTTTTCTTTTCGTCGCTCATCATAAAAGGATCGGCCCGGTCTATCATCAGCTTGTTGGTTAGGCTGTCGGCTGGTTTCCTTGCCGGTCGATCCGATCCTATTTGATCAAGGTCCAAGTCCTTGCCAAAGGGGGGTTTGTTTCACAGGGAGGGAACAAGTACTATGCATTTCAGTTTCGGTGAGGAGGACAATGGGAATTCTCGGGAACGGGATCTGCCTTGTTCCAACCGCCATCCAAGGGGACCTATCGCGTGACGGACGCGGTTGGCTGCACCATCGATCGGGAAAGCGAGGCGTGCCTCCGCGAGCGGGCGGAACCGAACTGTCGGGAACGGAATGGCTGGGGGGAGGGGGGGCTTGTGCAGGGGTAAGGATCTTGGTTTCCGTGTTGGTGGCTGACCTTGAAGAAAGCGTTGGAGGAAGCCAGTCGATGAGTTGATCCCCGGCTTTGCTTTACGAGACCGGCGCTCAAACCAGCAGTTTGAACTTTTACCTCTTTTTTTCTTCATTTCCTCGCCCAGAAATACCCGAAAAGAACTTTTATCGTCCCTCTTGTTTGCGCCGAGATAGGCAACAATGCTAGCTGGTCGGTGCTTGCGACATCGGAGGCTTCGGATGACACAATCCAAGGCCTCCGGACAAGCCTCCGAAAGTGGGGCCGGGGCCGGTCCGAGGACGTTCGCTAAACTTCCTCTTTCGGGTTCGCAGTCGGCACCCTCCGGGCCGTCCAACAAATGGTCTACGGATGCTGATAGCAGAGGAGGGGGAAGTATCGCAGAACCTAGACCCGTCGGTCTTAACTTTCTCACATGGAAGCGAGTTCGGCGCACCAGACAGGGTTCCGCTGGAGTTTGAGGATCCTGCACTTGTGAGCCGGTTTGGCTCAGCCGAAAGGGTGCGTGTCCGGCGAAGATAACGGGGGGAGAGAATCGCAATAATTAAGTATGGGGGGCGAGTCGGATAGGGTTGCAGGGCCCGTCGCCGTCGTGGGTCGTTGCAAGCCCTCAAGAGAAAGGGAAGCCTGGCTTTCCTTATCTTTGGCCCTTTATAACCCTGATAAGAAGCCCACCACCACCTGGATCCGATTGAGGGCATGAGGAGTACCTGCAGCATTACATCGGAACACGGCACGGGCTAACCACTCGGGATCGATGGAGAAACCGTCGTATGGTTGGGTCAACGCCGACGTGGTGGTGTCGAAATGCGATCGTGACCCCCACTACAACTACCCCTGCGTCTTCAGTTCTTCTTTCGGTGACTTTCTCATGTTTCCGGCGCGAACGAGCCCACTCGAAGCAGCTTGAGTCGTTGAAACCCGCTGATATCCGGGCTGTGAGATGGTGGGGGCCGCCCCAGAGCGCGAGATTTCTCTGAACTCAACCTGAAGAATCGGAAATCACGAACGTGGTAGCTGAATTTAGCCAGCACGTCGAGGCATACTCCAGTGACCGTGTCCTGGCATGCTAAAGAAGCTCTGAGAACGCCCCCCTCCCCTTTAAACAAGTTCTGAGTGTTTTCATCGAAATGACATGGCTCGCGGATTTCGACTCAGGTCTTGGGGAACGCTCCTCACAAAAGACATAGGGCGAGCTAACGGTAGTGAATGCTGTGGGCTCGGTGTCTCAGATTAGAGGACTACGAACGTGATTCGACCCTCGTGGTGAGCGAACTTGTGGTGGCCGGCGGCTATTACGCTCGGATGCCGGAGATAGGTTTGCATCATGTGTCTTCAAAGGCTGCTTTGTACTTTCGAAGCGGCCGGGGATGCACCTCGCGGCGCCCGCAACGCAATGAGTCTGCTGATGCGTGGGGGGTTTGCCTTAAATGGTGGGGGTAGCGTTCGATGATGCCAAATGAGGAGAGACAGTGTTGTTTGCTCGTATGCCACGACTATGGAAGTAACGGGCGACGCATTCAAGCGGCAGGTAGTAATTGACCGGATGGTATTTATTAGAGTGGCATTCGCTTCTGCTGCATCCCGTGGCCGTGCCGGGAAAACTTGCTCTTGACCAAGTTGGCCGGGCGTAATGCCCCCCACGCGCGAGAAGGAACCTTTACATTCACGGGTTGAGATTGCTCGTCTCCAAGAGCCCAAATCCCTTTCAAAGGATCCCACATGGGTATGGAAGAGGCGATGCACGATCCCAACCCTGCTCAGCATGGGAGTGGACCAGAGACCGGATGACGCACCCAGAAGGTCGAATGAGGCAAGGCGCGCAATTCGATGCAGCTTCGGCACCATCTGGATTTCGGGACGCCCTGGGTCGGAAAAACCCAGGCCCAACCAGGACCAGCATCAAATGGTCCTCTTGCGGGATCTCAGCGGGATAGTGCAGTTAGATTGGTGCCGGCATTGAGAAGGTACTCCTTGTGAATGGTACATACGGATATCCACGAGCAACAGTGATCGGATGAAGGGGGCGCTGTCAGAACTGGTGGTTGGTGGGGGGGTTTTGTCCAATTGGCAAACGAGTTTGAAACTTCATGAGCAAACTGAAGACAAACGTCCCGGACCCTTCGTCCCCGGTCCGTACCTGCCTTCTAGGGAGATATCTATGAGACAGCCTGATAGTTGAACTACCCTGATTTGTATGGATCTGAAGGATGTCCCTTCCAAAGGCCGACGCAAAGCCAGATCGAGTGGGGCCTAGTTGTGCGCGTTGTGGCAAGCGGCTCATGGCGTGATGTTTTGACAGGCCGTCGTCATCCGACGATTCGTTTCCAGCACTGTCGCAGCCGGCCAAAACGATCGTGGACATCAGGTGTGCGGGTCTACGAGGATGGAAGAACCCAGCCAAGGCAGGGAGGGCAATTGAGAAAAATTTTCACAAAATCTCAGGCTCCGCGCAAGCTGACAGCAGGTAGGGCAACAGCCTTGTCGTGCATCGGAAACCTTGGAGGATCGCGACCGCCCAAAAACGTGCCCAGGGTGATGGATAGGAAAGGGCGATGGGCAGGAAGTTCGATGGGGCCTGTGCACCCTGCTGGTTCGACAGAGTTTTCTGGAGAGCACTCCCTGGAATCGTCGAGCAAGCACGACAGTCAGATTCCTTGATTGGCCCAAAACCCACACTCATCCTTGGCCCAGGCTTCTTTTCTGGTAATGGAGAGGATCCAACGGAACCGGACGAGTATCACTTTGAGCGCCGCGTTATGACTATGCAATCGACAGCGCCGGGGACACCTGCAACCCGAAAGTTGAAGGGGGTTTCAACGAGCACCCTCGCGGCTGGCCTTACCATGCACACCCTCCACCGTGAGCAAAGTTGAACACCAGTCCACGGGAAGCTGGAGGTCAATGGCAGCGAAATATCACAACATTCTTGCAACATGCCCGTAGTATTGCCTGCTTCTCTGGTCCCGGTCTTTCCAGGCTTCATCATCAGCCTTGTGTATTTGTCACCGGATCGACCCCGGGACCGCTTCTATGTCGCTTTCGCTGTCTTTCTGCTGACACGATCACAAACTTACACAGTAACCTCAAGCATCCGACAGAGCCGACACTGCAACTCGGCATGAAGCAAGGACAGGCACGGGGACGGAGAACATGATCAGGGACAGGGGCCCCCGCCAGAGCTCCCCACACTGCTGGCGTCAACCCCACTGAAACCCCCTCCCGCTCAGCCCTCGCGGGACAGCTGTCGTGCTCCTCACCTGCTGCAGCGCCTCCAAGATGCCAGCTTGTTAGCTAATCGATGTGACAGGCGGGGACGGCATGACCTACAAGAAGACCGTAAGCCCTCTCGGAAAGAACCCTCGCGAGTCCTTCCTACCGCTTCATTCTTCCAACTTCCCATCTATCGACGCTTCTTCCCGTGGTGTCTACATACACAAGTACACAACCTACCATCGGCGGGGAACATTCGAGCCTCACACATCACAGCAGTACCCCCTGCCCTGGGACTTGCACCGACCGTTGCCCACAAAACGGATCCAGGTGCAACCGATCACCACAAACTGGGATCGCTCACCGCAGCACCAACGACGGGGCAAAACGATTGGCCCGCTCACACCTCCGACGATCTCCGTTCTCGGCTGCTTCCAGGAACCGTCCGTATTCTGGGGTTGGTGGGGGATCGAGCTTTGATGAGCAAAGCAGTCATCCACTTCAGATAACAAAAACGGGTGATCTGCCTGTGAGAATCACGAAACTTCTTTCCCTCACTCGTTTCCTCCAGCGGTACAAAGACTTCGACTCGTTCCCGTTTGTGTAATCCCATTCTGGAGGACTTAAAAGACTGGAGCATTGTTGGCCCATCCAGGATAGCGCCTCTGTCACACAAGGCACAAAGGACATATCGAGCCTTCCACTCCTTGTCTCATTGTCTCGCCTACTTTTCAACCCCCTTGCCTTGAAATCTTTTCAATTGACCCTCACTGGAACTTCAATCCTTCTTGCCAAAAAAAAGGAAGCCGTTTTTGAAGCTGTGCCCTTACAGCTTGCGTGAGCCGGCCCGTTACAACACCACGCTGCGCAGAGCTCACCAACGAATCGATCGCCCCGGCGGATCACAAGTTTCATAACACCCACGCCCCGGCAGTGGGATATCACTTCCCGACGACAGCCGAATCGAGATTCTATTCGGCGAACTTTTGTCAGTCAATCTCGCCCATCAGCCCCACGAACCATCCCGCGGAACCGCCAGACGGGGCACGAAATACGCTGGCAGCCAACGCGACAGGCTGCGAAAATTTCTGCTTGCAGCATACATATTTGCCACCGCACGACACCACTCAAACCGCTAGCTCGTTGGACGCAGTTATTTTTTCCCAAGCTGCCTTGGAGCACGCCGAATTGCGAGCTCAAATACGGCCCGATACATCTGGACCGCCTTGACTCATCGTCTTCAGTCTTGATTATCCTCTCTTCTTCCGTCGGATCCTGAGAAAGCTCTGAGCTCTTTGCCCCTCTACTAGACTTTTGAAGATTCTGGACGGAGAACAGCCGACTCAGTCCCTCCCTTTTTGACTTACGGCGCCTCAACCAATCACCGGCTCGCCCCAATGCACCAGCACCGCAGAAAGTCCGGTCACGCCTCCGGCAACCCGTCTTTGACAGACGTCCGCAAGGCCGTCAGCGCGACAGACCCTTCATCAAAGAAGTACTCGTCTCGTCCCACGATGTCGAGGAGGTCTACACCACAATCACTCCCAAAACTAGGGAAAAACCCCCGCGACCGGGAAAAGGAGTTAGACCAGGAGCGTTGGTGGGACGAAGAACGGGAGAGCTTCCCGGAGTATTGGTACGTCACCACGAGTTTTGCACCCCGCCTTTTTTGTTGGTGTGTTTCACGGCTTGCCGTTTTTTGGTTGTTCCTTCACCTGCCCCCTCAGGGAGAACGTCCCTTTCCGTCCGACTGCATCGTCACCTGACATGCGGTTGATTACCTCCCTAATAGGACCCCAAGTTTCCCCCACAAAGTGCGGAAGCACCAGGCGGGTGAATAGGGGGAGGTTTTGGGGAAGGTGCCGAGTTGGTCTTTTTGGGAAGGCCAAGTGTTTTGTGTTCCTGCATATGATCCATTTCACACTGGAATTGAGGTGGTCCAACGCTAACAAGTTTCCGCCTCTAGCATGATTTGCGAAAAGCAGTTCGTCCCATATGATGATCAGTCTCTCTACTGCTCTGAAGAGTGAGTTCGACGCAAAGGACTTGGAATCCGCTTTTAGTTGAGGATGGTTGACTAACGCCAGCTCGCTTAGATGTCGCATGCACGACCAGAACAGCGCCAGTATTTCCTCTGTGCCGAGCCGGTACAGCAGCAGCAGCTACCCAGCTACCACCCAATATCCCTTCTACTCTGGGCCGCCAGAATCTAGAGACATCATCCCCCGCGCTTCCCCCTCACGGCCGAGTTCAACGCATGTCTCCCCGCCCGTCAACCCCGCATCAGCCATCGCAGCCCTGAAGTCGCTCTCAGTCCGGCCGGCAAGCCCCACGTCGCCCGTCGGGACCTATCACCAGGGCATCTGGCCCTTCGCGCGCAGCACGACGGCTACCAGCCCCAGCAGTTCGTACACGAAACCATCTCCGGGCTTCTTCTCATCCACGTACGACGGCGCCTACTACGGTGCCGGTGCCGATTATTACGGCACAAGCTCCGATCGGCCACTCCCCTCTCGCCGGCCAACGGCCTATTCGAGGCCAAAGAGCATAGAGCTCGTGACGCCCATGTTGGGGCGGTAGCGTGCCCTCCACAAAACCACCAGCACCCCACATTTTGCGTGGCATGGCGGGGGCTGCGCGGAGAGCGCCTTGGCTGGCCTCGTGAGACGGGCTGGGCGCACATATTCATTATATTCATTCGGGTCACCAGGTGGTGTGAGATTCAACCGGTCGATTGCATCATGGCCCCTCACCACAACGGTTACAATCCGATCGCGAGAGCGCTCGTTTGCTTTACTCGGTGTGTAAGGCGGGCGTCCCTTTTCCATGGGTGGTGCAACCTCGGCGCGGGAGGAACGGAGGAGAAGGGGGGAAATGTGGGCGTCCCTTCTCGGGGGTTATCAGACCACCGCCCATCATGCATCTTCTGCAGCGATCGAGACCAGCCTATCTTCGGGGGTCTCGGTTTCCCCGCTCTCCCAGATCGAAATCAAGCACGAAAACTGGCATCAGCAGCATGCCAGCAACTCACTGACCGACCGCCCGTTTCTCTCGGCTATCTCCTCCCCGCACAATGGCCTGAGATCACGCCCGTGGCTTTTTTGGGGGGCAGCCACCGGTGTACCCCCCCTGTGCTTTCCTGATCCGTCTTGGGGCAGCCAGTGTTTTCTGGGGTAGGCCAGGGGTTGGCCTGCATTCCCACGCTACGTTAGCGCGGGGTTTTCGGAAGTGGTGCGTTGGCGCAATGGGAGGAAGCGAACGCCTTTGTCGGTGTTTTTCCTTTCTGGTTCTTTCTGCAGCACTGCGCTGCAGGACGAAATCACCCCCTTGCATCTTCGTGCTCATCTTGTCGTTTGACTCTGATTTCTTTTTTTTCTTTCTTTTTTTCTCTCCCATATTTCCTTGTCATTTGTTATTCAACACGCACGAATGGGGTAATCATGAAAAAAGCGGGTTAGGATTGACTTGCGGGTATGGCGCGATGTTAGGATTAGATGGGAAAAAGCAACTGTTTTCTTTTGGTGCATAATTTTTGCATTGGCGAGAGCCTGGGGACATTTCTTGGCATCACACGGAGAGAGACAATGCCCTGTGCTTCGGGGCGGATGGGCATGACATGACACCTCTGAATCCTGTCGTGGATACGGAGTATCATACTCGGCCTGGAAGCTTATGGGTTTTCTTGGAACTATAACGTATTTTCTGCTCTGATATTTCTCATGCTCATCTTTTTCCTTTTTGGGGGACTTCCTCATCAACGGTACCGACCGGTCGTCGGGTCGAACGCCCAAAGCGGCGTCAGCTAGATAGCATTTTTCCACTCTTCTTTTTCACTTCCCTGCTCAGCCTCCTATAATTGATATTCACCGCACTATTGGTATTTCCAAACCACACACCGTCTCCGCAAGACCACCTGCCCTCCTGCTTCATTCCCTGCCGAGCTGGTGTCGTTCTGTTCCTTGCAGGGTTAATGAGAGACAAGCCAGTCAAGTATCAACCAATTATGAATTAATGTGGAGCCTTGACAGCACACACAAACTCATCAACTCTGTTTCTCTTTGTCCAAAGCCATGCAGCAACATCATGCCCGCCAATCTGCACTACAATGCTGCCATGTGGAGAAACCTACTGGGGTTGGTCTTCTTTTTTTCTCCTCTCTACCGCCGTGTTCTAGCTCGGCTTGAAGCTTGATGCCCCTGTCAACTTGTCAAAGAAAGATAAAAGTACCATGTCAAAAGAAAAAAAATCTCCACTCCGGTGGAAAACTTTGTTCAATCGCCCCCTTGTCCGCACTCGGGCCGGGGAACGCTAACCGGTGTTTGGGGGCCACTCTTGTGGGGGAAGAATGAGAAAGTGAAAAAAAAAAAAGATGAAGAGACTCCTTTTACCTGTCTGCCTGCTCAGAGTCTAATGGTCTAGACTGACGGGGGGATGTTCAATCTGCTTTTCTCAACGGAGACAACTAAGACAAGCAGGTTCAGCATTCTTTTCCGTCTATTCTTGGCTGGCTGGCCGGTGGTCAGCTCAGCTGAGTGAGAATGGAGACGGAACGGAGGTGGTGGGGTTTGGTCAGATGGCTTTGATAACGGAATGAAGTTTTTTTTCTTTCTTCTTTCCAATTCTTTTTTGGGCATTTTCCGATTATGCCTTCCTTTCAGTGGAGAGCTTATTGCCACACACACACAAAAGAGATCTCGGTTAGTTAGTCAGCTTCCAAGGTAATTATAATCATAATTGGGCGACCTGCATGCAGATGGTGAGTGAGAGAAGGCGGTTAGAAGCAGGGGGGGTTAGACATCCCGTGGAGAAAGTAAAGTTTGGGGGTTTGACGTCTTTGGCCCTGACTAGAAACGTTTTTTTTTTACTTCCGAGGAGCGGACCGAGGACACTGGCCGACAGGTCGGTCGGCTCTGTGCTACCTCCGGCTTCGACCTCGGGCTTGGGTAGAGACCACGGGCTTTGGGGTGGGATGCCATCAATCCCCCCTCGCATTGAATGTTTTATCCATAGGCAGCGAAGTAACTGGTAACTGATCTGACTTATAACTCTAATCATCAAAGTCCACAAGCTCTATGTACTTATCCCAACCCCGGCTCCTCTCCTTTCAATTCCCTCTTCCGAGACTCGACAGCCCCATCCCCGCCAACCGATCATCGATCACCACCACTCTTTGCGCGCCTCTCTCGAGCACGTGTGTGTGGGTGGGTGTCAAACCTCATCTCATCTCCCCATCAAGCCTCATCTCATCTCCCCATCAAGCCTCATCTCATCTCCCCATCAAGCGCCCCCCGCCCCCTTTCCCCCCTTATTCGTCCCGAAAAAAGCCACGCCGAGTCTCAAAACGAAAAAAAGTCCACTCAGCCCCCACGAAAGCTAAAAAATCAGTAAAACGTTCGGCCCGGACATATTGTGGGGTAGGCTCGGCGGAAAGTCCCTCTCGATCAAGAGTCCGAGGCCGGGTTGGGGATGAGATAGTGGAAGAGAATACTGTGTATGATAGTTCTGCTTCGTGTTTGTGGGGAGAGATAATAAAGATAGAGAAGAGGTTGGGGGAGCGGAGGCCGAGGCGGAGTTGGAAGTGGAGGATCGTGGGCCGTTAGGGTGAGGGGAAGCGGAGTGATGTGGAGAGAGGGAATATATCTATCTTTCACCTATGTGGGTTGGTGGGTAAATCTGAGTTCACTACACTAACGCTCGGGGCTTGAGTGGAGTCACGATGTTTTGGGGAATTTGGGGTGGTGGAGAGGGAACTTTGTAGGTCTCGGGGGTAGATTGTGAGTCAGGGCGAGGGAGGCCGTGAATCGGAGAAAGAAGTAGGTATGGATGAAGGGGAAGTGAGTGCCCGGTGCCTGGGGAAATTTTTCTGAAGGTTTTTTGACGGGTTAATACCACCTATCAAGCTGTGTATGTGACGGGTTGTAGCATGGTTCCAGGCTCTTCATGGTAGGACTTGTACGGGGCGAATACCTACCGAGCATGCGATATTGGTCTACTCGGCGTTCTTGACCACCGCGAGACGGATACTTTATCCAGGGGCATTCATATCAACCTAACAGCATCACACTTTTAGCTCATGTCTAGACAGATCAAAGTCAGTTGCGTTGTCTAACAGCAGCCCCCTAGACTAGAACCCTCATAGCAATCGCAGTCAACAAACCTCAGCAACATATTCCTGCAACACACCGGCGCTATTCCCGTCTGTGTAACCGTCCGTATCTCCGCCGAGTTGTGAGACAGCCGACTGGGCATCTCCCAAAACGGGAACCGGGGAACGAGAGACTGAGTGATCGCCCGATGGGTGTCTCTCTTTTGTCTCTTGTTCTTTCAACGTACACTAGATGGGGAAAACGGAAGAGGGGAAAGAGCCGGCTTCCAAACAAACGGAAAAGACGGTGGTGCCCTGTTCTGTCTCTCGACTTCACCTGCGTTCAAGCTTCCCCCGCCAATGGTTATTCTTTACGGAGAATGCCCAACCCCGATGTCTGTGTTCGGGCAGCATGGAAATCACACTCATGTGCTCCTCGGATCGTCATAGACGCCCACGTAGCGCATGGTGTGTGGGCAGCTTGGGAGGTCTCTCTTTCTTCACAATCCGGGGTTGAGACATAGCCGGTCACACAAGCAGTCCGTTCGTCCATCCCCTTGCTCCCTATCGGGTGTAGTGTAACGATCAAGCCACCGGTCTTTGAAGACGAAGTCTTAACACGGCATGTCAGTCTTAATAGTGTACATATCAACCTGCTTCGGAGACGGGATTCCCTATCTCGACCGGATCAATTCTTCAAGATTGTACGCGTGCTTTCCCTAACCGGACCATTCACATCGAGACGGATTGCTAGGCAAAAAAAAAAAAAAGAAAAAAGGCATGGCATCTCTCCCATATGAAGTCCAGTCACGAGACGCCCGTTCCCTGCGAAGTCACAATGCAAAAGAACCAAGCTTGCGCCCTTCCTCCTTCCCCGCTCTTTCCCCCAACTCCTAGAGAGGGAGAGAGAAGAAAAAGCGGTTAGGCCCGCATCGATCGACGCCCAAACGATCGGCGCGGTCCTGTCGGCAGTGCACTGCATCTGGAAGTCGGGGAAACCGACTATCGTTACTTAAATAAGCAGGGCCCGCGAGGCACGGGTACATACGCAAGAGGGGACACTGGTAGCGGGAAAAGAGTCCTGGGAAGAAGAGAGCGGATTTAGGGAAGGGTGAGGGTGTTGTTGTTGTTGTTGTTGGTGGTGTCGATTGGTGGAATTGGTATGGATAAATAGAGATATTTCGGGGGTGGGAAGTGGATGAATAGGTAAACAAGCAGCAGGGCAGCAAGGACCAGGCGAGATCAACGTTGCTACCTACCCAGCGGGATCAATAGTCGGAACCTTGAGAGAGGGACGAAGTACACCGGAACCCAACCACTCATTCCGTTCAGTGATTTCCTTAGGTCAGGGTATATCGGAGGCACAGCGAAGGAATTGTTACGAAACGTGACCGAGTTCAGAATGAACAATTATCCCGGGATACAAAAACAAACACACCCTTGCTACACCGTAAAGCAATCAACAAGCCTCGCCCGAGCTTTTGAAGAACCCATCCACCTTGCCAGTGCCCAGTCTGTAGCAAGACCACAGACATCCATCCAACAGGTAAAAGCCTCGAACCGGATCAAAGTGTAGAATTTTCAAATCTTCTTTTTGGACTTGCAAACCGAAAAAAGTAAAAGGCTCGGAACCGCAATGTAAATCCATCCCCCTTATCCCCAAACATAATCACATCAAATCAGCCTCCATCCACCCCCGTTCCTCCCAGTCGCAGTCGTCATCAAAGCACTTCCCTCCTCAACCAAAAAGGGACAGGCAAAACCCACCCCCATCACCGCTGACCTCCCTTCCCCCAACCCATCAAAGCCACGGACGGGCCCGAACCCGCGATATCCCAGAACAGAAGAAGAAGCAGAGAAGAAAAAAAGCAGCCAGCCAACTCCACGTTTCTCTCTACCCACCCCTTCCTAGTCGTATTATTTATTTTCATTTATTTTTTCTTTATTTATTTTTTTTATTGCGGTCGCGAACTCGCCATCTCGCCATACCGCCCGCGGTGCTGTGTCGTATCATAGGCCTGTAGCACACGGGTCTGGGATTCGTCGGCTTGCGAGAAGGCATAACCGCGTTGCTTGCGCATGCGCTGCACCTGGCGCACCTTCCGGATGGCTTTTTGGAATTGCTCCATCCTAGTACACAAGTTGTTGATTAGTTAACCATTTCCAAGCCCACGTATGTGAGGATGGGTAGTTATAAGAGAAAGAAAGGGGAGAACATACCTCGGTCGATAATCCTGAATGTTATACTTCTGGATCTCCTGCACATGATGGTACGGCTCCGGCCGCCACAGACGTTTGCTAAACTTCCAGGCAAAGTCCCTCGCCAGCGACAGAATCGCCAGCGTCGGCATCTGAAGCCAAAACGCCGGGCTGGTAAACAACCGCGGGATCACGCCGAAGTACTCCACCGAGAAACCCAGCTTGGGCGCCACGGTGCCGTAGACAGCCACAAATACGATCCAGATCGCCATGCTGCCGGGGATGGCGATGACGTGGTACTTGGTCCAGTTGTTCGTGACGAGCGCGGCTTTGCCGAGCACGGTCAGGAGCACGGCACCGTACATGGCCGTACCCCAGACCCATTTGCCGGCCGGGTAGCTGTCGTTTTGGGGCCCGTCGTTGATGAAGAAGGCGGAGCCGCCGAGGTAGAGGATGACGGAGTGGTAGACGGCGTTTATGATCCACGACGAGAAGACACTGGCCTTGAAGAAACTGTTGTTCTGGCCGAGGCTGTATAGCTGCGGATAACGGTCTAGCAGGCGAGCGGAGACGAACTGGTCCAGAATGCCGAGGACGAGAGGCGGGAGGACGGTGTAGAAGACGTTGTAGAAGGAGAGCGTCCAGGATTCGTAGATGACTTCACCAGAGAAGACGTTTTGGAATACGTACTATAACAGGTTAGTGAATGTCAGCTACCGTAACCAAAGAGGGAAGGGCGGTGATATACGCACCCAAAACTGCGTCAGATAAAGGGTAATGTTCTTGTAGAACGAAAACAAAATAGCCTTGGCCACGCGGTGATAACTCCATGCGCCATGGACCAGAAGCAGTTTGCGGAGGAAGCGGAACTGCGCAATCGAGACGTCGGCGCTACGGGCAGCTTGAAGACCCTCCATACCGCTGATACCAATACCAATGTGCGCAGCCTGGATCATGGAGACATCGTTCGCTCCGTCGCCAATCGCAAGAAGAATAGACTCCTTTTGGTACTTCTTCACCAGCTTCACGACCATAGCCTTCTGCAGCGGTGAGACACGGCAGCAAATGACGGCCTTGCACTTGATGGCGAGGTCGAGGAAGAGCTTTTCCAAGTCCTTTTCCAGCGCGTAGGTCAAGGATTTCCCGTCAATGATCAGAGCCAGGGTGCCCATCTCGATCGACTCATCGCCCTGGTTTTGAATCGCGTCGAGCTTCTTTTGGATATTGTCCCGTGTCGCAGCGGCGTTTTCCTCGTTGACGATGAGAAGCATCATCTCCTCACTGAGCAGCTTGCAACTCATACCAATGTTGATAGCCGTTTCCTGACGATCACCCGTCAAGACCCAAACCTTGATCCCAGCTTCCTGAAGCGTGTGGATTGTCTCAGGCACGCCGTCCTGCAGACGATCTTCGATTGCAGTGGCACCCAAAAGGTAAAACTCCTTCTCAATAAGCTCGGCAGCCTTGTCCAGCTCCTCGGCACGGTTTCCGCTCACAGTCGTCTGGGCCTTATCGTACACCTTGTGCCACTCCTGGAACTCGTGTTCAGGAACCTCACGCATAGCCAAGCAGAGCGTCCGCAGCCCTTCCGAGGCGTACTCTTCGAGGTGGCGGAGGGTCACATCGACGTGGGGGTTGTTGTTGTTCAGGCGCTCGAGAATGACTGTATCGGCGCCTTTGGTGTAGCACCGGACTTTGCCGTCGGGGCAGCGGTAAATGGTCGACATTCGCTTTCGGGTAGAGTTGAACTCGCAAACGGCTAAGAGCTCGTACTCGAGCTTCTCGCCGTTGACCTCGATAATGACGGCGCGGGGTTTACGCGCAAAGAATCTGTAGCCCAGCTGCACTGCGCCATCGACAAGGGCACCTTCGTCGGGAGAAGCCGCCTGGTATTTGATGTTGTCTGCCTCGTCACGCTCTGGAATGACGGTGTGGCACACAGCGAGCAAGGTAAGGAACTGGTCGATTGCTTGAGCGGTCGGGTGGCCGTCTTTGAGATTCGCCTTGAGCTGCTTAAACTCGTGGATTCCTACCTCAACGCCGTCCTCAATGGTCGGGACGCGGTCCTCAGGAACGGTCTCAGCGTACATGATGCCGGCAATCGACGACGCCTTGAACTCCATTTGGTTGCAAGTCAGGGTCCCTGTCTTGTCTGAGAACACGTACTCGACCATGCCCAGCTCTTCGACCAGACTTGACGTGCGGCAGTTAGCCGGAGTGTCAGTAACGTCGTGGTACATGTCCAGGTCGTCGTTGATGAGAATACCGTGCCAATACTTGATCAGCTCAAGCGTGACGAAGAGGGAGATAGGCACCAACGCCGAGAACAGCACCCAGTATGTGACCATGTCCTTGATGAAAATGCGGAAGATGGCCAGGGCATCGCTCAACGTCTCCAGGTCGAGGTAAACGAGCCCGTCGCCGGAGACACGGCGCATGATGAGATCTCCGGCGGTTGAGATAACGCTGAGAGCCAACAGCATACCAACAAGCACCAAGACGAGTTTGTTCAGTTGCCTCTCAACCTTGGTCCGCTTGATGGGAGCAGCGGTTGCGTTGCGCATGAGCTTGGTCTCGTGGCCCGTGAAGACCACGACGCCGTGGATCCAGGGAGTGTTTCGAAGAGTAGCGCCACGGAGAAGCAGCTGTTCCGGGTTCAGCGACAGCTCCTTCTCGCCCCCACCAGCCTGCATGGTTAGGGTCGCCTCGTATGTGTACAGGCTGCTGTTGGGCTGTTCGGACCGGATACGGCCACCGAGCCGGCTGACCTCGGTCGAGCTAACCATGGAGGAAGTCTCGGGTAAGGCCTGCTTGATCTTCAAGTTGGTCTCACCATCCAGGTTGGCGGTCTCGATGTAGCAAAGTCCTTCGGGCTCGGAACTGGCTAGGAGAACTAGATCGGCCGGGAAAGGTTCCTCAGACTCCACGCGGATGATATCTCCCACGGCAACGTTAATCCACTTCGTCTCCTCGAAGCTCGAACCGCGCAAAACGCGGGCCTTGGACATATTGAGCGATTTGTCGGCCTGCTTCCGGCGATAGTCCTCCACAAGTTCTTTACCGGCAGATACCAAGAGCACCACAATGAGCGGGCCGATGGTGGTATACTGGTTGGTGGGAGAGAGTCCTGGGATCTGCTGCAGCGCGGCGGTGAACAAGAAAAAGATGTTGGCGAATTTGGAAAATTGTTCAAAGAGGAACTTGACGGGGAACGTCGCGACATTGTACTTGGCGGTCGAGATGTGGTTGTCGACGTACTTGTTCGCAGCATTCGCGGGGGGGTTGTTGAGGTGGATGATGCGGGGTCCGAGGGTCGCCGGATCGACTTTCGCTTTCCCAAACCCAAACTTGAAGTTCCCCATGTCGAACTTCTTTTCCTTCCGTGGGGTAGGCACTTCAACGGCCGTGTCTGTCCGGGCGCCCGCGTTGGCTCGGGGATCTGTCAGTGGGAGGTCCATCTCCGAGTACCCCTCGCCCATTCCTAGCCTATTTTTGACCCGCCCGAGAAACCCGCCGCCCAAGCTTAGCACACTATTCCTGTTCCTAGCATTCCCGTGTGCGGCCGAGGAGGCCTCTCCGCCAGCCACCGAGCCCCCCCCGTTTTGGTAGTATCCGCCATCGTCGGGGTAGTCATCGAAGTCGTCAGCGTATCGTTGGTAGTTGCCCAAGTCGGATGTTTGGCTGTATTGCCGGTTGATCTCGGGGCCGTAAGGCCCAACTGGACGCAACCCCGCGCCCGATGGCCCCGCGGCTGGCGGGCGTCCGGCGGGCGGTCTTTGTTGCCCGGAACCGACAAAATCATCGTAGGACACGGAGGGTCGGGAGGGCGCGCCGTCTTGGTCGTAAGCATAAGAGTGGAGAAGGTCGTCATCGGTCAGAGCAGATCGCTGCCCGGTGCTGTATACTGGTTGTTCATGATCAAGGTCTAGGAGAAGGTCATCGTTCTTTCGTGGGGCCGAGGAGCCCCCAGGAGGAGGGCGGCCAGCCATGCCGTGCGAGGGGCGGCGCCGCTCACGGCAAGTCGGGCGGAGGGTTGGGGAGTAAAGATCGGGTTGGGCGTCGGACCATCGATCAAGGGCGGTTGGGATCGGAACGAGAGGGATCGAGGGTCGGAATCGGAAATCGTGAGGTCGTTGTTAAGGTCTGGGAAAGAGCAGACGAAAATGTGGTAAGTTCGGTCAAAGTTATCGATGGTCAATCAGGGTAGGTGGTGAGAAGTCGTCGTGTTCGATGCTTGCACAGCCTCCTTTCAGCAAAAGGCCTGCGAATTGGGGGGGACCCCTGGGCAGCAGTGCTTGGCTTCGTCAGCCGCAACCGTGCATAGGAGTTGGTTGAACTTGCAGACGCCTCACAAAAAAGGTAAAACTTGGGGAACCAAAGCCAATCAGAGAAGGCACACAAGCCGCCGACAGTTTTTGATTGCACGCGTTGGTTTGCCAACGATGCTGTCGTCGTGAAGCCCTTGAACTTGTCAAAAGCTACATCTTTAAATTTATTATTCTCCAGCTGCAAATGATACGAGACGGGCCTGGGCGGTCGATGCAGGGTTAGCAAGGGGCTGCGACGGGCTCCGCTTGGTGACTTTCATTCTTCCGAAGCTTTCTATTGGCCTGAGTTAAAACGTCACCCCACCAGAGAGAAGTTGCTTCAAGCCTTGCACTGAAGAAGGTGTTTCGGGAGGTTGACCGACCAATCAGAGTGCTGCTGCGCTTCACTTGTCTTGCAGTCGCACAGATGCTGTGCCCGTGGTGACGAATTGCCCCAGGCCCCAGCCACAGCGGCTTTGCCTCCTCGCATCTTACAAGGCTCGCACCGCCTCTTAAGCTCGCAACCTCGCCAAGGTCACCTTCAAGACACGAACCGCATCACGACCTCTGTTCAAGGCAACCCTTTAACACGACAATAATTATAGAACAATTTGGGATAACCATCACGATGGTGTGTTCCAAGTGCCAAAAACTGAACAAAACTTCTCTTGCCACACCTGGGGTCAAGAAGAAGGCTGAGATGTACTATGGTTCTCCCGCATCAACATCATCAACAGCGAAGAAGTCGGCAACTCTCGGGCAAACGGGCATCTCAAAAGTGAGTTTAAGTTATCACGATTTCCCTTTTTATTTTTCTCTGAGTATCACTAACCATTCCATAGAGCAAACTCCTTTCCAAAGCGGCTAAGAACCCATATGCGCAGTATTCCAGCGCCTGTGGCCGCTGTAAGACCAAGGTTGCCCAGGGGCACACATTTTGCAACCAGTGTGCATATCGGACAGACTGTGAGTTGTTATTTTCTCTCTCCATTCATTTCCAAAACGGGAAAAGCTCCGTTATCTCTTTGAGGTTGACATCCAGACTGATCGTTTTCAGCATGTCATATCTGTGGGAAAACCAACAAAAAGAAAAGTAGTACAGCCGTGCCCGTTGTGGACGGTCAGAAACGGTCATTCAAGTGAATAGTTATGCGGTGGAATACGCAGTAGCAGACGACAAATCATAGCACCGTCAAACACGCCGTCCAATTTGATGGCGGGCCGGGCCACACCGCTGGATGGTGATTCTCTGCTTGGCCTTACGAGGCCACGAACAAGCGGAATGGCATAAACTGGCATGCCGTGAGAAGAAAGAATTTGGAAAGTCATTCGGGGCGGCTTTTCTCCTGATTTATTGGGCGTTACGGCGTATCAAGCTACTTTAAATTAGACGACAATGTCTAGGCGTGGTAATAATGAGGCACGGGAGGGATCTGTGGAAGGCAGCGGGCGCGTTTGTACGGTGTTGAGGACTTGGATTGCCAAGTCCAGATTGGTGCTGCTTCGCAAGATCACAAAAGATACTATCTTACTCCTAAATTGAAGCCTTCAGGGGCTGCTCCTTGAGCACCCCTTGCAAAAAGTCCTTGAAATGCTGGTTGGTCTCGCCCGCCGCCTCCCAGAGCGCCCAATGCGTGGCATTCACCTCCTTCTTGGTCAAGTTGGTGCAATACTCATGCATGTTGGCCGACATTGCGGGCGGCAGCGCATTGTCGCGAAGAGCCACCACCATCAGCGTCGGCAACGTGATCTTGTCCCGGCCCTCGTCGAACAACACCTTCTCCTCGTCAAAGTTGATCTTGCTGGTCTTATACCAGGACAAAGGCCCCTTGATCCCGTTCCTAGCATACTCATCCGCATAGTACTCCAACTCCTCCCCATTCACCAACGGACTCTCCCCAATCTTGTCCACCTCCAGCGCCTCCAGATCCAACCCCTTCGCCACATTAAACACCTGCTTCCCGTCATCCCGACGCGCGCCATACAACACCTTCAAAAACGCCCTAATCTTCTCCCGCCCAACAAGCGCCTCATCAACCTCCGTCCCAGCCCACTGCAACTGGTACCCAAAATTCGGCAGCACCTTGATAAACTCCTCGCGCGGCAGGTAGGTGCCCGAAGCCGGGAAATACGGCGTGCACACGCTAATCACACAGCGCAGCGCCTCCGGGTGCCACAGCGCAAACCGCCAGACCACGGCACCACCCCAGTCGTGGCCCGCTAGCACGATTGGCTCGACATCGTCGCCTTCGGCTTTGCCTTGGACGTGCCGGACGATGGCGAGCAGGTCCTTGACGACACGCTGGAGAGAGTAGGCGTGCAGATCGCTGGGGGCGTCGGTGCGGCCGAAACCGGCGATGTCGGGGACGATGACGCGCAGGCCGAGGGAGAGGAGGAGGGGCACTTGGTAGCGCCAGCCAAAGCTGAGGTCGGGGAAGCCGTGGACTAGGAGGGCGGTGCCGGTGGTGGGGGTCGAGGAGGGCGGTTCGGCGAGGAGGTAGTGGTAGGTGGTGTTGTACGGGTTGGAGGGGATAGTGTAGGATTTGTGTTGGACGCGGTGGTCGTTGGGGGTGAGTTTGTCGACAGCGGCCATGTTGGTGGAGTGTTTTATGTTCTAGTTACTTCTTATTGTTTCGTTGTTTACTTTGGGGGTGGTCGTTGTTGGTGTGAAGTGGATGGAGGAGGGGAGTAAACTAGGGGGAACGATGAAATAAATAGAGTTAAATAGAGTGATGGAGCTGCCGAGGCACCTCGAAGTGGGTTTTATAGGTATCCTGGCTCGCAGTATGTACCCCTCAGAGAACCTGTCAAGTACAGACGTCGAAGAGGGGCTCGAATGTAACTTACACGGGCACGACAGGACGAATCGAGATGCGAATTGGAGAGCCTCAGACACCAATCGATTCCTGACTCGGCCGTCATTCCCCGCTCTTTCGGGGGCGGGAGGAACAGAATGGTCCGGCCCGAATTGTTTCTCCCGCCTAACCACATATGACGGGAGTGGTGTAGAAAAAGTTTATCGGTCTGGGATTTCAACGGTCCCAAGCCGAGGCACACCCCTACATGGCAATTGGCATGGTTTACATCCAAACCGGTATTCTCAGTCGCCCATTGCCGTGGAGGACGCCTCGGCATGAAGGGAGTTGATTGTATGTAGTGTATTCGACCCGCTCGGACACGCCGGTGAAACTAGAGGACCTTTTGTCCCCGCAGACGGGAACGGATTTCGGTGGACGGATCAGACTGAGTACGAGGGCAGCGGTCCGATTCGTAAAACCGGACCCGCTGCACGGTGGTATCGCATTTTACTCAAAGCGAGAAGCATCGAGCCAATCCGCTTAACACAACAGCCGGTGTGCATACCCAATTCGGGAGTCTCAATGACGCGGCTGGGTGTAGGTCAAATTAATTCTTGCCTCGGATCTCACAGTATTTTTCTTCCTGGGGTGAGACAGAAGGTAATTTTCAGCGTGTCATCTTGTCCGAACTCTGGTTCGCATCTTCGGATCCGCTTACCAGAATACCCACTACCTAAACCGTTAATCCCTGAGCTGCAGATGGAACTCCAGCTTCCCTGGAGTAATGATATAGCGAAATATTATAGGTATTTACAAGCATAGATGACGCAATAATAATGGTATGTCGTATAAGGCGAAAAAATTTGAAGGATTAGTATATCACCGTATCCTCCTCGTCGTGCAAGACCACATCGCCTTGCTCGTCGTGCTCTGTAGTATCTCCTGTTTTTGGTGATGGTACAGCTATGCCTTTTGTGCTTGTTTCCTGCACCAGCGGCCCGGGGTCATCAGGCACGGCTTCCTTGGTCTGGGTCTCACTCATGCTGACTGGCTTGACCTCTGACTCGGTCTCCGCTTCCGGCCCAGGTCCCGGCCCCGGCCCCGGCTCAAGCTCCGGCTCCGGCTTTCGGTCAGGTTTTTGCTCCGACTTCTGGGGAGGAGGTGAGGGAGATCGTGGCCGGGGTATGACGCTCAACGCCCGGAGCCGCTGTTCCTTGCGCGCCTTGAAGTCCGCTCGTTCACGGGCGACGGTCTCTTCCGCCTCATCGACTTGGTCCTCGACAATGTCGTCTTGCTCTATCGTGGTTTCCCACGGGAGGTAGTACTGGGACAGAGTCAGTCAGATCACAAATGCGGGAATAGTAGATGCGGGAATGAAAGAAATGGCTTACAAGTCTCGGCTCGGCCTTTGTGTGCAGACTGTGGGCCTTGTCTAGCATCGCCGCGTGCCGAGTATTCATCTACACAAGCAAACCACATCAGCCCCTGTACAAACCTCATCTCGAAAGGCAAGAGATAGTAACATACCGCCTGCTCATCCAGCTCAACCTGCGCAATCTCTCGCCTCCTCTTCAACCCCGCCAGCTTCTCCGCCCGGCGCTTCTCATCCTCCACCCGCCGCTGCTGCGCTCTTTCCTGCTGTCGCTTCTCAATCTCACGCCTCCTCTGCTGCTGCGGGCCGGACGCGGACCGATTGAGCGCGCTGACTAGCCCGCCAAACAACCGCTGCCCGCGCTTCTTCTCCTCCTGGCTCACATTGTGTCGTGTTGGTGGGCCAGCGGCGACGGTTGCCGACGGTCGTCTCTGCGCTGCGGGTGAGCGTCGGAGTGATGGATTTCGGTCGGTATGGCGCGTTGCTGGTGATTTCCCCGTGAATGATTCATCTCCGTTGCGGGTTGAATTGAAGTCATCTGAGGCGCCCTCGGCCGTCAAGGTATCGGCGTTGTTTCTTGGCGGCGCTGGTGTCTGGTCTTCATCGAGCCTCAGGCGCTTGCCAGCAGCATCGTCTGTGGTGATTTCTGGTGAGGCTTTACGTTTGTTTGTGGCGTTTTCCATTCTGATTTATTTCGTGTTCATGAAGCGGATTGAATTGCGGCGGTGGTGGCGGATGCCCGGCTTGAACGTAAGTCGAGGCTGTTTTGCATATGCGCAGGCGCAAAGCTCGGTGGCTGGCGGGGCTGGGGCTCGCAGCTTAAGAGGAAAGTTCGCGACAGTTGAGAAATCAGCGGACCAAAGGTGTAACGTTTGGCGAGGTGGGGATTTAATGGCAGGATCAAGGTGCCCAATACAGCTGCAGCCTGCATGAAACCACGGAGTTTGGAAGATGTACCTCAAGGGAAAGGGGCGGCGCGATTTGCGATATGTTCAGGTTCATGTATGAGCGGACTGCCCCATGTGCTGCGTCGCTGCCCCAAATTCCTGGATGAGATTGGACCCGATATAACCCTAACCCTTTGTAATCCACCCATTACATCTGGAAATTACTGGAAATACGCCACCTGAGCCGCGGCTTGATCAGCGACACCTGTGACGTACCGAAAATATATTTCCAGTCGCGTGCATCTACCAGCCTTTGCATCCAAACCGCGGCAAACACTACGAACAACGACCGAGACCTCTCCCCGCCTCGTATTCTAGCTTCCTAACAAACACGACCTCACGAACCAACCATAGCCACTAGCCAAAATGTCCCGCCATCACCCGTACGTCCTCCCTCAACTCCCTAAGCCTCTCTCCCAATCCCCCTCTCCCGCTTTCCCACTACTTACTAACCCGATTCTCTCACTCCCAGTGACCTCGTAATGTGCCGCAAGCAATCCGGCATCGCCATCGGCCGGCTCTGCGACAAATGCGACGGCAAGTGTCCCGTGTGCGACTCCTACGTGCGGCCAACGACGCTGGTGCGCATCTGCGACGAGTGCAGCTTCGGCAACTACCAGAACAAGTGCGTGGTGTGCGGCGGCGAAGGGATCTCGGACGCTTTCTACTGCTTCGAATGCACAAGACTGGAGAAGGATCGCGATGGGTGTCCGAAGATTATTAATCTGGGTAGTAGTCGGACGGATGTGAGTTTTCCCTCCCTTGCCTTGTTCAGCTTGGCTTGCGATGAACTTCAGGGCATCTAAGAAAATATGTGGATATGTGCTGACATCGTTTCTCTCTGCAGCTGTTTTACCAGAAAAAAACGAATCGGACAGGGTTCTAGTGATGCTGGGGCCCGGGTATGGGCGGTCTGCTTCTCGGCACGGTGGACTTGGGAAAGCATACAGAAATTACTTACTCAGTTTGCGCCTCATAGCACATGGGTACGGAGTTGATACTAGGTTGACGGCGTTCAGGCGTTTGGTCAAGGGAGAGTTCAAAGCAGGAAAATGGGATAAACACCATCTAGCGGCACAAAGAGCCAATTTACCACTTTTGATATTTGAGACGATGCCTATTTGTTTTGCTTGGTTGTGCTAAAGTGTACTAAATACTACGGTGGACGTTCCATACATTTTGCAAAGGGAATGGAAAACAAAAGAAAAAGCCACCAACCGAACACGATGCTTGACTACGAATTCGGCCCAAAAAAAGGAACCGAACCCCTATCCAATAATACCGCGGGGCCTCGGCCTGCCGGCGGGTTATGGCCGGCGGAGTTGGTTTAAATATAGCTGACTTTGGTTCCCATCCCCGCCGTAGCCTTGATTTTGTTCCAGCTCACCCCAATAATCCGTACCAGCCTTTCCCGCACCTTCTTCCGGCTCACCAGCAGCAGCAACCCAATCACAAATGCCAGCATCCGCAGCAGCACGTACGGATTCGTCTGGAATGCCCGGGCTACTTCGTCGACCAATTTGCTAAGATTCCCCAGCACCGTTGTCGCCCGCGATATGAGCGTGGGTGGGGCAACAACCGCGCTGCTACTGCTGTTCCCGGCACCCCCTTGCCGCGGCAGCGGCCTCTTAGACCGCACCGAGCTGCTGCTGCTTCCAGTCCTAGTGGTCTTCTTTAGCGCCGGCGTTGTAGGTGGCGTCTTGTCGAGTCCGAAATCACCCTCCGTCGGTGACGACAATGACGACGCCGATGAGGACGATGCAGTCAATTTCTGTTTTTCCTTCTCCTTCTTCGCATTCCTCTCCGCCGTCTCCCGTCGCACTCGCTCCTCCTCCAGCCGCTTCTTCTCCCTCGCCTCGTTCTCCGCCCGCAGCCGCCGCGCCTCCTCGATATCCCGACGTATCGCCTCCTCGCGCTGGGCACGCTCCTCTTCCTCGCGCCGCTCCGCCTCGGCCTGCTCGTCATGCAGGGTGTCGAGTGCCTGCAGGAAGGCCTCGCGCCGCTCGTCGTCGAGCACGGGGCTCACGTTGATGAACTCGCGCGCATACTCCCATTCGTTGTTGCGTGGGAGAACGTGAAGTGTGTAGAGCTCGAGGAGCTTGACACGTGCGGCGAGGTCGCGCGGGGTGTCGGCACCGCTAGGGGCTGGGCGACGGGGCGTTTGTTGCTTCCCTGGTGATGCGTACCGGCGTGGGGATTCGGAGAAGCGGTCGGCGGGGATGTCAAGATTAGGGGTGCGGGCCGCGGCGAGATAGTTCTCAAGCCGTTTCTGGTTCAAAGCCTGGGTTTTGGAGTGTGCGAGGAGGAGGGTGGCCCTGCGAGGTGTTAGTCTCAAGCGAGAGCGAAAGCAAAAAAAGTAAAAATAAAAATAGAAGGCCGACACCTACAAATTGATAACCACCTCCGCATCCACGTCCCCCTCGACTCCATGATACCCATTGCGAATGACTTCCTCCCAGATATCTCCCGAGCGAACTTTGTAGCACAGCGTCCGCCACTCCTGCGCACCGAACGCGTCTTTGCCATCGTCCGGCTCCAGCTCAGCAATCGCGTTCAGCACAGTCAAGTACAAACTCCACACCTTGACCCGTGATGAGCGCGACGCCCGGATGACGGGTGCCGGCTCTGTCGGCGTCACGGTAGCCGTCGACCCGCTAGCATTAGACGCGCGGTCATCGCTGCCGTCGTTTGGGGATTGAGGCGGCGTGACTAAGGGTAGCACAGTCGACAGTGCCTCGGGAAGCCGACGCGTGAGGAAAAGCGTGGAGGCCTGTCGGTAGGTCTTGGAGATGTGCGAGGAAGAAGGATGGCGGGTCGAGGGGCTCGAGGACAGCGAGGTGATGGACGACGACAGGCCGCGTGCCTGCGAAAGGCCGTCCGCTGCCAGGTATGACGTTCGGTTGCTGGCCATAATGATGCCGATGGTGGGGGGTGAGCCACAAGAGAGAGTTGGAGGTGTCGTGTGTCGTGGAAATAAGGTCTTGTCACTGGGGGTTGACTTCACGTCATTCGTCCAGCTCCCGACAAAATCCAATCAAAACACAGTGGCGGCGGTGTCGTGTTTATTGTATTTTATTCTCCTTTTACTGTCCAGCCATCGTTATCGCCAGCAACCAGGAGACGCGCGCCCAGGATAAACGAGTCGAAATGTGTTGCGATAAGGTCGAATCGTCAAAAACGCGAAGCAGGTCCAAAGTTCCACTTTGAGTCCCCTGGAGACAGCAAACATGTGTCTGAGTGAAGCCCCGAAAGCCGCAAATTGCCTGCAGTCTTGAGCCTCGGCTCTTGCTGGGGACAGCTTGGGCGTGCCGATTGGATCGGGGTTCTATTGGTGGGGCAACGCCTGTTAGTGTTCAACCTCGCCGCCAAGAGAGGTTCTCTGATGGGCAGGGGTACACCGCTAACTCCCCACGCTCCCCGATCGTTCGACGACCCACTGAACGTCAAGAAAAACTTGGGGAAACCACATGCGCCCGATCAGCGGGGTGCAGACCGTTGCATGAAACCTCATTAAATGTGGTCGGACAAGAGTATGTAAATAGCTAGTAGTACTACATCATTCGGGAGAAGCTGTACAGAGCTGCCCGATCTTTGAGATCATCATCAAGCAAGCCGAGGGAAGTCCATGTCGGCTGAGGGTTAGGGTTAAACACACCATCCCTTCGGTGATCCCGACATGAGTGGCAGAAGAACTCCGAGGCACGTTGTAATATCCGGGTGACTTTAGACGATTTTCATATGGAAGAGTTTCATATGGAACAATGTTGATTTTTTTTAAACCTGGCTTTCCCAATCCAAAGAGTTCCCGAGGCAAATGTCTGACATTATCACCCAACTGCCATTACACACACAAAGGCACACAACTCAACCATAGGTACCTCCATTCCATTTCGGCGATACCGCTAAACAAGTGAGAGCCACTTATTGCAACATAGAATCCAGACTCTCGCCCAACTTCTCCTCAATCTCCACAATCCACCGCCTATTCTCCCTCTCCACCACCTCATCATCATCATCCTGCAACTCACTAATATACGGTAACATCTCCGGCAACGCCTGCAACCACTCCTCTCCCAGCCGGACCGTCAGGGCCTGCTGGCACCGGACCACACCTACTCGCACTCCCGCCTGCCCGCTGCGCAGGTGCTTAAGCAGTGACCCGTTGAGCTCCTTATGGTGCTCCTGCGAGTCCGCCGCAGCAGCTAGTTCAACCACAGCCGCGATCAGAGTTTCTTCCTCTTCCGAGGGCGTAGCAGCGGCTGCGGTGTTACCAAGTAGAAGGAATTGCTCGACTAGCACGGGCGCTACGACACCAAAGTGTGCCGGCGCCTGCCAGAAACCGTCCTGGTCGTGCTCAAAGCACTGCGCGAGGGTGCGCAGCACGCGCTTCCAGAGTGCCTTGGCATCGGCGTCTTGGAGGTTGGTTGACGACAGCACGGCGATGGCGCTGTCTGTGATGTAGGAAGCGTAGCTGGTGACGATGGACTTGAGGTTGCCGAAGAAAGTGTCGAGGAATCCGTAGACGGCGAAAAGACGGAGGGCACGACCGGAGGAATCGCTCTTGGGCAGGCCGCTGGCGGCCCACTCCATTAGCTTGGAGAAGACGGGCCGGAAGGCGGCGTCGTTGAGCTTGTAGATCATCTTGAGCGCATCGTCGCCGATGCGGGCCTCGATTTCGTCCAGTTCGGAGAGGGTAATCGGGGTTTGGGCCTGGCCTGATGCCACCGTCCTTCTCAGGTCTAACAAGCTTAAAAGGATGGTGGAAAGCACCGTCACGTTCTTGGACACCACCGCCTTGGAATGCTTATCGAGGGCTAGTCCCAGCACGTAGAGATACTCGGCAATAGCCTGGTTGATTCCCATGTCAGCAAATCAAAACTTGAAAACGAGTTATGAGTCGAGTATAACTTACCAGAGCCCCATGGCCAGAAGCGGAAGCCCAGTTTTGGTTGAGCGCATTGTAAAAGACCTTGGGCTCCACCAGCTTAGCCAGGAACTGGAGGCAGTGCATCCGGTTGTCGTTGGACTCATCATCGAGCTCCACAGCGGCCGAAGCGTTGGAGCAAGCCAGAAGGCGGTCGAGATACGAGCCGGTAATCATGTACGGGATATGCTGCGCCAACGCAGCCATAAACGCATACGCCGCGTTGTGCAGTTCGGCGTTCGGCGTCTCGCCCACCAGGCTCTGCTCCAGATATGCGAGCGCCTTAGGGATAGCAACAGGTAGAACTGGGACGATGCCATCTTGCAACACATCCACAAGCGACGCAAGGCACAGCAAGGCCATGACCCGGAGGCTCTCAGATGACTGGCCGAGGCAGTGATCGCCCGCAATGGTCGTGGCGGCCGCAGCCACTGCGTCGAGATCCTTCTTGCCGTATTTCTCCGAGATCTTGTCCACGCAAGTCACCGCGGTGTGCTTGTAGTTCATGTCGTCCGACTCACGGATAACGGCGGTCAACTGCGGTAGGAAAGCAAGCAGCGCTTCACGCGACTCTGGGTCGCCGGTGTTCTCGCTGTCGACACGCAGCTCGAGGGCCCGCAGAACCTTCTGTCGCAGCCCGACGTTGGGGCGGTCGAGCAAGGCCTCAACACTCTTAATGAATTCGGCAATGGAAAGAAGGTTGAGCAGGTTCGAGAGCGCGTCACCGCAGCGGTTGTGGAGGGCCTTCTTGCACTTGACTGTGGTCGCCAACGTCAGGATCCTCTCTAGCAGGGACGCATAAAGATCGCGGATCTTGCCCGTCTCCATGTCGTCTCTTTCTGCCAACTGCGTAATCTCGCGCTTCAAGCGCCTATTAGAGAGCAGGTGGGGAAGCAGGTTTAGTTGCTTCGCAGCGACCTTTTGTGTGTCATGGTCGCCGGCGGAATCGCCACCCAACAGAACCTTGGACAACGTGGGTTTCGGCTTGAAGATGTCGCTGATTAAATCCAAGAGCTGGATGAGCGTCTGCAACTGAATCTCAACCGAGAAAGAGCTCATCATCTGAGTCGTGAACAATATCATGTTGTCGGTCGCAGCATACCGGTCAACAAACATAGCTAGGATGGAAAAGAGGAAATCTTCGGCCCCGAGGTTCTGGACTAGAGAGATGAACAGGTCGTGCTTCCGGTGCGAAGGGATGTGTTCATATGCCGTCACGAAGCTAGCGAGGAGATCCTTAGTGCTGGCCACCACGTTGCGCCCTCTCTTGCGGAAGGTGTCGATCAGGGGCGGAATGACCTCCTTGATCGTTTGGTTGACAACATGAGCAGAGTAGTCGTCGGCCTGCTTCAACACCGAGCTGCCCATGAAGGTGAAGATAGGCATGACGCTTTGTAGCACAACATCGGGAGCGGTCCGGGCGAGGCTCGCGACTAAGAGGAGTGCTGCGTTGATCACGGTTGGACTAGATGATTTCTGAATGCAGGTGGCCAATACATCACCATACCCGACGGAGGCATCAATGGACAAATCCTTGTTATCTCTGTACACCGGGATCATGGCGAGGAGACTGCTCAGCACGAGATTCTGAAGGTAGCCCAGCTCCGAGCCGATCAGAGTGCCGAGACTATGAAGATCTGACAAGGTGGTGAAGAGACTTGGCAGCAGCTCGGGGTGGTTCGCTGGCTCAGACTCTTGCACAAGTTCCAAGACAAACGTCGTCTTGTTCAGTGCCGTCTTGACTTCTTGGTTGCTCTGTAAGGCGACTGCACGGCTTTGCTCCGTGGTGCTAACCCGTCTTCGCTTGTTCGCTGGCTTTTCGGCAACCAGCTTGACCTCGTCTTGCAGTGAATCAATAAATTCTAGTAGGATATCGCTCGTCAGATCCACCTTGCGCAAAACGTCCACGGCCTCGGCAATAACGAGGTTCTGCTCGGATGGTGAAGGTGTTTGGGTAATGTTGAACATGGACCGGGCCGTGGAGGACTTGACATCAGGCTTCATCGCGGGCCACATCTTGGTGATGCGGTTGAAGATAGCCTGGATTAACCTAGGCCGAAGAGTCGTTTTAGGGTCATTGATGAGCTGGAAGCAAGCCTTGAGGCCAGCGGTATGGTTCGCAATGACAATGTCCACAACCGCATCATCCACAGCAGCTTCGTCAACGGATTCCTGTGTGGCCAGAGCAGTGGCGTCTTCGGGACTGAGAGCCGCCCACCAATGCAGAAGTGGGAGCAAAAGATCGGTGCGGGAGGTGCCTGAAATGCTCCGTATCTGATTGAGCGACCGAAGTAACCGCAGCTTCGTCGCTAAGATCGGAGTCTCCGTAGCGTGCCCGCAAAGGAACTTCAATATGGAGAGTCTTGCAGCGTGGGAGAGATGACGCTTTTCCCCGTCTTTGCCAGACGAGCCCTTTGAACTCTCGAGAGCGCTGACGAGGGCCGCAAGAATGTGCCCATCGTGGATAACGGACTCTTCCAGGGACGGTACAAGCACCAAGCTAACTAGGGACTTGAGAACCTCGGAGTCAAGGGCATTCGGCACGCCGGTTTTCCCATACAGAACCTTGCTAGCCCAGAGCTGGCGTGGCTGTGCCTTCAGAAGTGAGGCCAAAACCGCAACAAGATCAGCGGTAGCACGGCGAACCTTCTTCGCGGGATCGCTCAGAGCAACAATGCAGTAAGGAAGAACCCCCTGGAAATCCGTGTCAACCGAATCACTTTCCTTGAGCCGTAGCTTGACCCGATCTAGAGCTGCCACCTTCGCCAGTGTGGGAAATGGCCCGGACCAGATGCGCATGTAGAAAGTGAGGTAGAACGGATTGCTTGTGGCCACAGGCCGACTGAGTACGGGAGTAGCATCGAATTTCTCCAGATCGCCGTCGGCAGCTGCGGCGGATAGGAAAACCGCGCAAAGGTCGTTTAACAATGGCGTCGGCCCCTGTGAAAGGCACGAATCCGTAGTCGGCTTGAGCTTGGACAGTTCCTGAAGTGTCGAGTCTAGACTGGGCTTCTCTTCAACGGATTCCACCCCATTTGCCTCCTCCTCGGCATCCAAGCCTTGCTCAAGCGCAAGTCTCGGTCGGATTGCCGCCCCAAGTTTAAGCTCAAGCTCTTCGATATTGAAGTCGATCTCCTCGATGGCGGCCCTAATAACATCTCCGGTATCTCCTCCGGCTTGAGATAACCCAACCAGACACGATCCGATCTCCTTGCGAATTTGTCCGTCTTGATCAACTGTGTCGTTGACCTTATGAGCAGCCAGAAGCAAGGCCTTGTAGATAACCTTGATCTGTTTGTCCTGCAGCAAGTTTGCCAGAAGGAGTGAGTTGACGGCGGGAAGACTCCTAACGTCGCCTTTCTTTGACAACCTATCAACAAAGGCAAGCGCAAGGCCATTCGCCAGCTTGTCGACCCGGTGTTGGCGGCCGATATCTACCAATGTCGGGACCAGATCCTGGACCTTGATAAGGGATTTCGCAACCCGGCCCGAAACCTGCTTTGCCGACCGGTGCTGTGCGAGGATGCACAGGCAAACGAGACCCGGGCGGTGTGTGTCGACGCTCCACCCGTGAACCAGCTGGTCCATGAAAGCCGTGAGGGCGGAGTCATTGAGGCTGCCCTTTGCGCCTAGAATTGCGACTATCATGTAGCTCGCTATCTGCGCCCCTGGGACCTCCTTCATGATCATGGCCTCGCTCAAGACCGGCCCAATCTGCTGGAGGAGGATGTGGTCATTCTGCAACTGTATGTTCTTCCTGCCTGAGCGCATTTTGTCCAACATCCCGTTGACAGCCTCCGCCATGACACCGCCCCAGAACGATACAAGAGCTGGGTATTCTTGTTTCGCCCGACATGATTCTAGGGTGTATTCGGAAATAATCGACAAGAACTCTGGTCGGTTCGTAGCCTGCTGTACGATCGCCGCCCGAGGAGGTGCTGTCAAAGACCGAATATAAGGGTCTAGAAATCGGTACTCTAAGGGGAACTTCGGGGGCAAAATGGAAAGAAGTGTGACGAAGGCCGGGATGGTGTGATATGGCAAGAAGGTCGTAATGAGCGTTGCGGTGTTGAACTCGTGAATCCTAGACGCCCATTAGCACCGCAATCAAATCCGGGACGCAAAGACAGCGGTACATACCTAAACCTCCGGATCAACCACTCAACGGCCTTGATTGCGGGCATCAGGCGCAACCGGCTTCCAACGAGGTGGAGAAACGAGTCGACCCGTTTGTCCAAAGCAGCATTATCCTCGGCGTTCATCTGAGTTCGGTCGGCCTCCTGGCTCTGCTCGCTGAAGAGGAACGCGCCATAGTGCGCAAAGCGTGGGTCCAGACCGCAGAGTTCCTCAAATCCCTCATGGCACACCTGGTAGATCTCGGCGAAGGTCTGACCGGCGGCCGCCCGGGGCTCCCAGATCAAGGATTTTGAGTGTGTCGCCTTGAGGGTCTTGGCGTTTAGGCTTGTCCTCGAGTTGGCGGCGATTTGCGCCAACTGGGCGGCGAGAGAGGACGCCATTTTGATCTTGTTTTATCGTCCCTGGGGGGCGTATTGGTCCTTCTTTCCACTCTCGTTTGTTGTCTGCGATGGTGAAGGGGACCCAGGCGCGTCGAATATGACGAATAGGCGAAGGGGCGCTGGTCGTCGACGCGAGATCGTTGGTCGCCAATTGAGTGCGTAGATACGGACTGCACACTATACCGTTGAATCGGACGAAAAGCGGCGACAAGGGGCAAGAAGTGGAAGACACTTCTCGCTGTCCGCTGTTCGAGAGACTCGCTTGATTTCTTCGGCAGCCTCCAGACCGAAAGCATCGTCCGTCCAGAATTTTTGCTGGGTCAGAGGGGCCGATAAGGCTGCGCTAGCCAACCAGGGGCTCTGGATAAGCTGCACCGGGGTGGGCTGCTCTCTGCAATCTTGAGGGTCTCTCCAAAAAAAATCCAACTGCAGCACTCCAAAAAACCACAGCAGCATCAAAGCACGACACGCAAACTCGTGAATCTCGGGTTTCTTGCCGGCCCGCGCCATTTACAATGAATTCCCGGCCGTTGAAACGGAGGAAGGTTACACCCCCGCGCGACGATATCCAAGATACCGGAAACACCGATACCAAGGTCCAGAAAGCGTTTTTCAAGAACGCCGCCGGCTGGAACCTCGAACAAAACTACGAGTCGAAATCGAGGAAAGCCAAGAAGAAGGAAGCAAAAAAAAATGGAAATGAGGTGGGGGGGAGACTCCCGGTGAGAACCGCTCAAGGGTCATGGCAAGTTCACGACGATGCCGAATCAATCGCTAGTGACGCCGACTGGCTCGAGGGCGAAGGAGACGACGGAGGCGCTGAGGAAGAGCCCGAGACTGCTGCGCCAGAACCGCCCAAAATTCCGGAGCGCGAGCAGATTCGCAAAGCTCAGGAAGAGCTCGCCAAAATAGCAACACAACTCAATGAAGACCCTGAGGAATACCCCGGTGCTTTCAAGTCCTTGGCCCGTATTGGCGACTCGCCCATCCCGGCCGTACAGAAGCTCTGCATTGTTACGCAGATGACTGTTTATAAGGACGTCATACCGGGCTACAGGATACGACCGGCTTCTGAGGAAGTTGCTGGGGAAAAGGTATCCAAGGATGTGAAGCGGTTGCGGACCTACGAACAGGCGCTGGTGGCAGGCTATCAGGGGTACATCAAGACATTAACGAGGCACGCGGGTTCAACAGTCGTCGAGACTCGGAGAGGAGGTCAATCGGTTTCCAGCATCGCGTTTACTTGCGCTTGCACTCTTGTCAATGCCGTCCCACACTTCAATTTCCGAGGCGAACTCCTGAGAATACTGGTCAAGAAGCTCAGTGGTCGCAAGGTGGACGACAACTTCACCAAGTGCCTACAGACTTTAGAGACACTGTTCCAGGAAGATGAGGAAGGGAATGCGACTATGGAGGCCGTCTCTCTTCTCATCAAGATGATGAAGGCTCGCGAGTACAGGGTGGATGAGAGTGTGCTCAACATGTTCCTCCATCTACGCCTACTGTCCGAGTTCGCGGGCAAGGCCTCGCAGGATTCGGTCACCCGTCCCGGCGACCAGCCAGTTGGCAAGAAGCAAAAGGCGAAAAAGGAGTTCCGGACCAAACGGGAGCGGAAGCTGCTGAAGCAGCAGAAGGAAGCGGACAAAGTCATGGCTCACGCAGACGCAGCGGTTAGCCACGAAGAGCGGGAGCGGATGCAGTCGGAAATCTTGAAGATGGTGTTCGCCACCTACTTCCGCATTCTTAAGGCGCGCACGCCGCATCTTATGGGAGCAGTCCTCGAAGGCCTCGCCAAATACGCCCATCTTATTAACCAGGATTTCTTTGGGGACCTGTTGGAGGCGCTCAAGGATCTTATCAGGGAAAGTGAGGTCTCAAAGCAGCCGGCGGACGGCGAGACGAACGGCACTGAGGAGGAGGAAGAAGAAGACGACGAGCTCTCAGTGATCCGCGACACCAGCAGAGAGGCCCTGCTTTGCACTGTAACGGCCTTTGCCCTCCTCGAGGGCCAGGATGCCCATAACGCCCGCTCCGACCTCCATCTCGACCTCTCCTTTTTCATCACCAACCTCTACCGTAGCCTTCTCAGCCTCTCCGTCAACCCCGATGTTGAGCTCGGTGCCAAATCTCTCCACCTTGCGGATCCCGATGACACCTCTTCCGAGAACCCAGCCAACCGCAAAACCAATAAAGTCAACCTCCAAACCACCACAGTCCTGCTCCTACGCTGCCTTACCGGAGTGTTGCTGCCGCCCTGGAACATCCGCTCGGTGCCGCCGCTCCGGCTGGCCGCCTTCACCAAGCAGCTCATGTCCGTAGCGCTGCAGCTACCAGAGAAGTCGTGCCAGGCAATGCTGGGCGTGGTGCATGATGTTGTGCACACACACGGGCGCAAGGTCAACGCGATGTGGAACACTGAAGAACGCAAGGGCGACGGCAGCTACAAGCCGCTGGCTGAGACGATCGAGGGGAGTAATCCGTTCACGACGACTGTGTGGGAGGGAGAACTGCTCAGGAAACATTACTGTCCCAAGGTTAGAGAGGAACTGAAGACCATGGAGAAGGAGCTGAAGGGGATATAAGGGGTAAAGTCTTTGGGTGGTGAAAGGGCAACGATGTGCGACTACGGGATGTGCAATTCACATTTGGGTAGATTTGTTTGATGGCATTGCAGTTGTTGGGAAACATTTGAGAACTAGATCATACCCCGAAGCCGTACGAAGTAAATCGTAACAACTGCATTGTCTCTCCCAAGCTTAACTGGTATCAGAACCCTGACTGGCTCGCAATCAGCCGCTGACTGACTGTAACCCTAACCCTGCCCCGCTCCCACAGGGGATATTGGCTAATATCCACATATACGCTCACCTGGCAATGTGGTTATTCTGTAATATCCACATCTACCGCTGATCGGGCGGTTCCTGGCCTTCTGATTAGTCAATTTGAGCTACTGTGATGGTGTTCTATATCATCAATACCCTCTGGATACGCTACATTGCCTGCATCTTCCAACCCTATATCCTATACAGGCTGCAAGATGGCCCGCCAAACCCTCCGCAAACTACAGCCAGCACCGGTGGCAACTGCGGTACCGGCAGCGGCGCGAGCGACCCGGCCGTCTATTACAGTATATACCGGGCCTTTGGAACCGGAAGAACTGGGCCCCGGCGACGCAGTCGCGGTCACGGCGCCCGCACGCTGCGCCGCGTAGAACCGGAACATTACCAACGACACCGAGCTAAAAGACAACCTCTACCATATATATACTACTATCTACGCCGAGCGGCCAATAACTACTAAGTAGGCATACGTACCGAAGCAGGCGGAGTTCTAGAGCTTCTACCAGGGCTATAGTTTCTAAGATAGAGAGACCGTTACAGAGAGCAAGCTGCTCCTGTTCCTTAAAAAGGAAGTTATATACCGCCCGCTCCGAGGTCCAAGCCAGAAGCTAGCGCCCGGTATACCGGCTACCGAGGCCCGGTTATACTAGCAGTCTATCCGGGCATATATTACAGCAATTATAGATCTATAGCAATAGTAATAGACTCTCGATATAAATAACCACCTATTACCCCGGGAGACTATAGCCCAGGAGTATATATAGACCCTATAATAGTAATATATAGCCTAGAGCCGGTCTATCTATACCGATAAAGGCCAAGATATACTTCTCAATAGCTATTTAAAGCCAAAGCTCTAGAGGATTACTAAGAAAATATAGGGCTAGACCGCCAAGACCCTAGCGAACATTAAGTAGTACCTCTAAACGTTAATAGACCTCCTCCTTAGCTACTATATACTAGCCTAGAGTAACAACTATAGGATAGTTAAGCTCTTAGACCTTTTTACATTTGAATTCCCCAGCAAAGGGCTAACCTAGTATATACCTCTGATCTTTATTACCTATACTAGGAAGACGAACTAATATAGCTAGCTTAAGACAGCTAAAGTACTTTGGAGCTAAGACCCTAGGATTTACCTTCTCGGTATACTTACCTTCTACCTCCTCTTCTAGTAGGACCTCTTACCAGAGCCGTTCCTAGACTTTAGAAGCCCCCGGCGTTAGTATAGTACCTACCTAATTAAGGCGGCCGATGCCGATCTATCTACTAGGATCTCCTATAACATTTAACAGAGCTAGGTTAACCAGGCTTTTAACTATACCGGTATAGTCTCTATAAAGAAGACCTATACTAGGTAAAGCTCTAGGGTAAAGACCACCGAGTTATAGGGTATAAACAAGGTATAAATCTGGCATACCGGGCAATAGAATCTGGACTAAATAGTTAGATATTATCTTAATATACTACCCTATAAGTTTATATAGAGTATTACCAGCTACCTAGTATAGATAAGGTATTTCAACCTACCCCAGGCTATACCGCTACTGTCAATACTCCTCTCGATGATCTGGCCGGAGCTAGACCAATAGGCTGATAGTACCTAGAAGCTAAAAGACCTAGCTAGTATAGGTACTATAAACCTCCTTATCTATCTCTATAAAATAATCCTCTAGGATTTGATATTCCTAATCGACCAATACCCTAAAAGCCTAATATAGAACTACCTAGTCTTCTAGTATCCTAAATATCAGCCCTTTATATACCAGATACTCACCTAGGCTAATAGCAACAAGGAGCTAGACCAGCTTATACTACTTATATAAGTACTCCTATAGTTTATAAAGCATCTATTAATAGTAGAGGTATAGTATATAGTACAGCTTATAGAGGTAATAGCCACTCTAACTACCGAGATAGCCAGGCTAGAAGCCCAGCTTATAAGTAGTTATACTAACTACCTCTAGTAAGTACTTACTAAAGCTATACTCTAGATCCAGCTACTAAAGGCTAGGCCAGCCAGGCTAATATCAGGGCTAGGGCTAAGGCCAGGGCCAAGGCTAGGGCTAAGGCCAAGGCCGGTACCAGCTATAGCCATAGTTATAATACCAGACCTTAAGCTTAAGCCAGTGTTGATAGATAACTTCTATATCCCCAGTACCAATAAGACCCTACCTAAATACTAAATAAGCCGGGCTATTAAGACCGTTAAAGCCCTTTAGCAGAAGTAGATAACCAGCTTACTGGGGTAACTGGCTATCTTAGTACTAGATACCTAATAGGGAAGCCAGTAGTAAGCTAGTTGACGATCGGAGGTATAGTAGTACTCCCTCTGCCTCGAAGCTATCCAGGAGATCCAGCAGGTAAGCAAATCCTAGTATATCGTCAAGATCTCAGCAATATATACTATAGCAGTGGACTACCGGTAGTCAAGCCGGTCGTTAGATATCTTCTATAAGTAGCTCTAGGTAAGCTATAAGCTCTGTAAAGCTAGGGCTGGCTAATAGGCCCTGGCTAACAGGCCCTAGTAAGGGCTAGACAGGGTATAGATATATAGATCTAAAGCTAGTAAATAGAGTATTTTAGCTATAACTATAGCGATATAATATATTATATATATTATAAGCAATATAGTCAGTCTTATAGTATACTATATTTACAGGGTATAGGCATAGATATTATAGAATATTGCCAGCTACTGATTAAAGTAGGCTAAAATTACGCTATTTTTGGATCAGCTGCTAGATCAGCTACTATAGGGTAGGTATAGTTATCCTCCTAGTATTAGAACCCTAACTGGCTTATAATCAGCCGCTAACTGACTATAACCCTAACCCTGCCCTACTCCTATAGGGGATATTAGCTAATATCTATATATACGTTCACCTGGTAATATGGTTATTCTATAATATCTATATCTACCGCTGATCAGACAGTTCCTAGCCCTCTGATTAGTCAATTTAAGCTACTATAATAGTATTCTATATTATTGATACCCTCTGGATATACTATATTACTGTCACGGACTGATGGCCAGCACGTTAGCTGGGCGCACGGACCCGTCAGCAGCAACCAATCAGGAACCAGCACGGGAGTGATCGATGGATCGATGGAACGATCGCGGGATCACTCAAAACGCCAAGAATAGGTGATCGATAGATCGTAGAACGATCACCACGATCAAGGTACAAAGGTACTTAGGACACTCTCTCTCCTAGATAGTATATAGTCACTCGTTCTAGAGGACTCTGGGAGTTCTCCAGTAAGTAATACAACTTATTCGCTACCAATTACTACAAACATTAAGACCAGATCATTATCTTATTGTAAACCTTTTAGCTTCACCGAATCACAACCCTAGTACACTACCTTCAGTAAACCCTTATAGAGTGTAGTTGAGACGGTTTGTCACACGTTACTTACTCCCTTTATTCTATTACGGTTCAGGCGAAGGTACCGACATTATAAGCACCGATATTACCATAACTGAAGACGGATATCAGGTCCCGTAGACCGACGAGCAGGCTAGAACTATATTCGTCGCGTTACAGAAGAAAATCAAGGAGCTCGAGAACGAAACCAAGACCTAAAAGGGGCAGCTCTCGGAGTACGAAGACAAGGTCGATAGTGTCTAGAGAGCTAAGCTTAAGATCAAGGCTCCTGAGAGGTTCGACGGCAAGAAGGAGGACCTTACGCGTTTCCTTACGGAGTTAGCCTCTTATATCGAATACTATAACGACCGGTTCCCCGATGAAGGAACCAAGGCCCGCTATGCGGCTTTAAGGCTTACCGGCTAAGCTGTACGATAGTTCGAACCGACTCTCAGCAACTACGTCGCGTATAAGGACGTTGATAACACCCTACCGTTCACCTGGAAGGTCTTCAGCAACTTTGACGACTTCAAAATGGAGTTACAGAAGGTGTTTGGCGATCAGGATAAGAAGGTTCACGCTCAGGACCGGCTCGCTCGACTACACCAGAGCAAGTCCGCCGTAGCCTACGCTATACTGTTTCGACAAGATGCCATTTAGGCCGGGATCAACGAAGACGGACTGATATCCCTGTTCTACAACGGCTTAAAGGAGGAGGTAAAAGACGAGCTCTATAAGGAAGACCGCCTAGATGACCTTAATAAGTACATCGCTAAGGCCATCTACATTGACGACTGCCTTTACGCCAGAAGACAGCAGAAGAAGGGACAGCAGAAGCTAGTGGTCGGGGTAAACCACGCTAATAAGGGGAAGAAGCGATAGGGAAGTACAGCCTACGGTACCTAGTCTAGACCTATAGAGGTTGACGCGATCTAAACCCGGTAGCCTAGTAAACAGCCTCGTAATAAGACCAGTGTCACTTGTTACAACTGTAGGAAGAAGGGCCACTATAAACACGAATGTAGGAGCCCGTAGAGGCAAGGTAGAACGCCAGGCTAGTAGTCTTCTGTACCAGGACGTAAAGCCGCTGTCATTGAGAAAGGAATCAAGTTCAAGGAAGTTACTACCAGCAGCTATAGGTAGGACGACTTAGAGGATATATACGATAGGGAGGTATACCGGCACTACTTTGGAATAGAGGAACAGTTCGAAGGTGAGAACTCGGACGAGGAGAAGGACTTAAGGACCTCTGAGGTCGAGCTCTCGGACGTCGAGGAAAAATTCCATATATATCTATAGGAGCCTATCGACAGCGACGACGAACGGCTCTAGGATGATCCGTATAGACAAGTAGCGCCGCTGTACGCTATA